TTAGTAGCCAACCACCTTAACCACTGCACCACTAGAACCACCTTAACCACTACACCACCAGAGCTCATTCATAGGTTTAGGCAGAGGAGAGGAAAGAAAGAGAGCCTAGGAGAAGGGGGGAGGAAGGTACAATAGACTTTACTTCCTTTCCAGTGCTCAAGGCCAATCAGAAATAATGTGAATGAACCTAATTACACATGATGCTGAGCTGGAGGATGTAATAAGAGCCTGGTGTGGGCTTAGGCCCACCCTTCTGGGACCTTTCGTTCTAAGAATAGCCAACTTGCTAGCAAGTACCTTTCTTTTGGCCTCTGGCAACAAGACTTTTCTGAGTTAAACATGCTCATCTGTTTTCCAAAGAATCAGGCTTAGAAACAGAGCTATTTTAGCTTGATTTGCTTCCATTCTCATTCCTAAGAGCCAACAATGCCAGCTGCAACTGGATTTTCCCTCTTAAAGGGAATTCACAGCTTGGGCTGATGTGGCAGAATGTCAGAAATAAGCCCTGTACAAGTGTGGGTTTAACAGGCCCAAAATAGCCAGAGTCCTGGCCCACCTTCTCTTCTGTAATTTATTCATTCATTTAACAGGTATTTATCAAGTACATGCTCTCCACCAGGCGCCATGCTGGGTACAGCAATGACCCACACAGACGTGCGCAGGGCCATCATGGAGCAGAAGCTGGCTCATGAAAGAGCGGCACCCAAAGGGAGCAGGCCCAGAGGCAAACACTTGAACATCAGCACATGCCTATGTGTCAGTGAAGCACACCTGAGTAAGCCCAGCCAGGTGTTAATAAATCAGCCTCTGCTAATGGCTCAGTTCATGTGCTCCTTTCTAAACATAGCACAGGTTCTCACCTGCTCTGGTCATTAGTGCTGCATAACATTCATACTAGCACTAAGAGCAAAGTTAAAAAAGAAAAAAAAAAACACCAGAATACAACAAATGCTGGCGAGTGCGTGGAGAGATTGGAACCCGTGTATACTGTTGGTGGGACTGTAAAAGGGTGCAACCACTGTGGAAAACAGTATGATTGTTTCCTTAAAAAGCTGAAATA